TGAGTTCTGTAGCGCCACTGGCAAAGCAAGGAGCAATGCACTGAGCTGGGGCTGGGTGTGGTTCTGGTCTAGGCCCAGAAGAGAACTCAGCCCCCTGCATCATTGAGAATCACAGGAGCCTCTCCTTCTCCTACCCTTTGCCTTGGGTCCTTACTCAGAGTGAAGTTGTGATGGGAACAACCAGGAGGCCGGCAACATCCCCTCCACCCACTTTCCTGGGTATCCTCCCAGACCAGGCCCTCCTGGGGTCCAGAAGAGAGTGAGCGTAGGGGAGAGGGTCCATCTCCATGGCTTCCCAGCCAGGCTCTGGGATGCAGAGGTGTGGCTGAAACTAGGAATTAGTTTGAACTCAGCAGATGGCACAGTGCAGGAGCCAGGCTAGTGCCTGAGGATGTGGAGACAGCTGGGGGAGGTGACAGTGTTGGGGACAGCTAGCAGTGAGGACGTGGGGTTGGAGAGTCACTCCAGGTGGGAAGCTTGGGCAGCAACGCCAGCAGCTCCCAAGTGATGGCAAAGGAAGGAAGGCAGGCAGACCTGGAGGATTACGCAGGAGAGGTGCAGGGGAGGAGGATTCTCATCAGGACATGAGAGGGGCGGCTCTCTTCTTTTGTTGCCTGATTGTCTCCAGTGGTGTCCAAATCTCCAGGCTGATGTGTCACACACCAAGGTTCTGTGGCCCGGCTGGAGGGGCTGCCTCGTGCCTGAAAGATCAAAGGCGATGCCTAAAGCAGATCAATAAAAGGGTGGGAGCTGCCTGCATTCCCCCAGCGCTGCTCTGACGCCCACGCCTCCCCACGCTCTTCACTGCCTGCTGTCCGCAGAGAGGAGGCTGGCCTGAATGAATAGGAAAAGGAGTCAGAGACCCTGAGCTGCTTGAGGGCCTGGCAGGGATGGGAACCAAAGGAAGTTTGGAGTAAAGGGTTGTCCTCTCCTGGGTGAGAGAATGTGCCTCTCCTGGCCCCAGGTCTCCCTGGTCAAGGCTGAAATCACAAGCCAAAATGACTGTGCCCACGAGAGAGAGGTGAAACCACGTGGTGTGATGTTTGCCTCTGCATGGAAGAGACATTTTATGGGGTATTAAGATAATCTCTGTCCTCTGTCCTGCACAGGAAGCCTTGCTGCTGAAGAGAGGGGTCCTTGGCCTCCACAACTGGTCACATGAGGGTGACACTGGGCCTCCTGCTCTTGGTCCTCCTGGTGGAGCTGCTGGTGCCCAGCTGGGCCCTCAGTCCCCTTTCACCAGAGTATCAGGCAGGGCTGGAGACTCTGGAGCCCAAGGATCCTCGGAATCAGACTTGGGGGGACATGCAGGCTCCCTCTGATGAAGAGGAAGAGGAAAAGGAGGAGGAGGAGGCTTGGCTTAGGACCTGCATGCAGCAGCTCTCCAACGAGACTTCAGACTTTGGGTTCAGCCTGCTGCGAAAGATCTCCATGAGGCATGAAGGCAACGTGGTCTTCTCGCCCCTCGGCTTGGCCTTGACCATGGCGGGCTTGATGCTGGGGGCCAAAGGGCAGACGAGAGCCCAGGTGGAACACAGACTCCGGCTGCAGGCCCTAAGCAGGACGCAGCCCCTGCTCCTGCCCGCCCTCTTCAAGCGGCTCAGAGAGACTCTCGCCAGCAACCTCGAGCTGGGCCTTGCCCAGGGGAGCTTTGCCTTCATCCACAAGGATTTCAAAGTCAACGAGACCTTCCTCAATTTATCCAAGAGGTATTTCGATACAGAGTGCGTGCCTACAAATTTTCACAATGCCTCGCAGGCCAGAGGGCTCATGAATTATTACATTAACAAAGAGACTCAGGGGAAAATACCCAAGCTCTTTGATGGGATTAATCCCGAAACCAAATTAATTCTTGTGGATTACATCTTGTTCAAAGGTACTTGGATCATGTTCTGCTCTCCCAAAGCTGAAGGGTCCTGTCACTGCCTTTCCTTTTCCCTCCTCTGGTCAGCTTGTGGTTGTGTGAAAGGATTTTGTGTAAACATGTTCTCAGAGTTCACAGCTGTTCAGGGTGGTGCCAGATGGTCATCTGAGGCGCCTGCCCTCATAAACCCACTGCCTGGGGTCCTTACAGGTGTCACAATACCTCTCCCCAGTTCCCTTCTGCCCTTGGGAGGAAGCAGCATAGGATAATTCCCCAAAGGAGCATTTTGTTGGAGAGAGTTAGGTTTGCATTTTTGCTCCTTCATTCTTTGCTTTTGCAGCTGGGACAAATGACAGGATCTGTCCTTGGGTTCTTTATCCAGGAAATAGGGACCCTACCACCTGCTACAGTTCTGAGGCTATGTAAGATAATGAGTGTAAAGTGTGCAGCTGTGATTGACACATCCAAGACTGCGCACACACGCACACCATTTGGCCTTCCCAGCTGTCAATGCAGCAGGCAGAGCAGGGACCAATGTCTCCTTCCTAAAGGAGATGAATGTGTAGGTGGGAGAGGTTAGTTTAATAGGGCCACACAATCAGTGGCAGAGGCCAGACACAAACAAGGTCTCCTGGCACCCTGATCCCAGGTACAGCATGTGGGATAGATGCCACTGGGGTAGACAGATGGCACCAGAAAACCCACTTCCAGGACAGGAAGCAGGCTTGCAGTCACCAGGCTACACCCCAGGACAGGCCCTGAAGGAGGGATATGCTGCATCCACCCCCCTGCATTGTGGGACCCTGCTGTCAGAGCCCCACAACGCAGTGGATGGGCCAGAGGCACTGTTGCTTGGTGCGATGTGCGTGCTTATGTGCGGGTGTGCACTGGACAAGGTGACAGCAAGAGGCCCCTCATGCAGACAAGGCCAGGCAGAGGTCTGAAGTGTTCTCTAGACTGGAGCCTCCACCAGGGAGAATGAGGAGTTTTATTTAGGTCTGGAACAAGGAAGGGAGCAGGGGTTGGGAAGAGCCTCTCCTTGCTTCCTGTGTGCTTCCATAGGGCTGGTGGGTGGACCTGGATTTCGCTCTGAGAAAAGCTGATCTTTGGGGAATGTGTTCCACCTGCCTGAGCTATAATCCAAGCGACCTCAATGAGGGAACAGCTTTTGGAGCAGGAATAATGCTCAAGCCAACCCAAGGGGCTGGCTTCTGCATGGGATCTTCTCTTCCTTGTTCAGGGAAGTGGCTGACCCCCTTCGACCCTGCCCTCACCGAAGCTGGCACTTTCCACTTGGACAAGTACAGGGCAGTGAAGGTGCCCATGATGTACAGGGAGGGAGAGTTTGCCTACACCTTTGATAGCAATTTTCGTTGTCACGTTCTTCAACTACCCTACCGAGGAAATGCCACCATGCTGGTGGTGCTCATGGAGAAAACGGGAGACCACCTCGACCTGGAAGACTACCTGACCACAGACCTGGTGGAAACATGGCTCAGGAACATGAAACCCAGGTATGACTGCCCCGCTTTGTGCCCAAGCTTGCAAAGGCTCCCCCGACCTCACCCAGCGCACTGTGGCCCAATGCCCATCTCCCAAGGAAGCACTCAGCTGCCCAAAGGCGGGGCCGGCATTTGCTGTTTTCTACTCCCCTGGCACCTGCCATGTGCCTGGCTCTTTCATTCATTCATTCATTCATTCATTCATTCACTCAGTGAGTACTCATGCCATGTCTCTCCTGCCATGATACCTACACATGCTGGGTGCATCTGTGAGCTAAACTGTGAAGTCCCTGTCCTCCTAGAATTCACAGAGTAAGAAGAGAAGCTGACAGTAACCCGGAAAGAGACAGAGTATCAGCAGGGTACAGGCAAGCCAGGGGCAGCCTCACTAGCAAGGTGACAGTAAGCAAACGTCTGAACCATGTGGATATCTCTGCAGATAGGAGTGTTGCAGGCAGAAGTAGGAATGTTCTGGGATGGAGTGTGCCTGGGAGTCTGAGGGACAGCACGGTGGCCAGGGAGGCTGCAGTGTGTGATGAATCAGAAAGGAGCAGGGGCCCAGGCACCCAGAACTCCCCTCTCAAGCCCCAGAAAAGGCCTGAGCTTTGCCCAAGTGAGATGAAAAGCCACAGAAGGGTTCCACGCACAGGGTTCCATGCTCCGACTAAAGGATCACTCAAGTTCCTGGGTCAAGAAAAGACATGAGAGGACAAGGAGGCCATTACTGCAATACAGTCATGCAGGAGGCTACTCTGGAATCCAGATGGGCATGCTGCAGCTGTGACTATAATGGTGGCAGTGGAGGTAGGATCCTGAATTACGAGGAAGTGAGAGTTGGCAGAATCTTAATGGGTCGGGGAGAGAGAGAGAGATACAGGGCAAGATGCACACACAGAGAGATAGAGACAGAGACAAAGCCACTTGTCAGAGGTGATTGCGCAGCTTTTGGCCTTAGCATTTGAAGAATAGATATATCATTCACTAGAACAGGGACGAATGGGGGAATCGTCTGGGGGGAAATTCAAGAGTTCAGTCTGAACATTTAGATTGAAATAGCTATCAGACATCCAAATGGAAATGGCAAAAAAGGCAGTTGGGTCTGGAGACCAGGGGGAGCCCCTGCTGGGGACATAAATCTGAGGTGGGATCGCAGATTGCCTGGGGAGCGGCTCTGCACAGGAGTGGGAAGCACGGAGTGGGCGCTCACGGTTCTCTAAGAAATCAGCCCACCTGCCGGAGTACACAGAAGACAGCTGGGACCAGAATCCATGGCTGTGTGGCCTGAATCCTGCCAGCCTGAATTTAGCGCCAAGTTGGGTCTGGCTAAGGGTGTCTGCTGTCAATTTTACCTTTTTTATTCCTCTCTCATTTTTCTCAAAATCTTTAGCACCTAGTAAAGAATTCAAACATACAAAGCCCCCAAGAAGTGTTAGCTGTATGAATTTATAAATTAATCTTCAGGACATGTGATGCCCTCCATTATATTCTGGGCTGACAGCCTGACTCAACTATGTGACAGAGAGAAAATGGAGAGCGATGCCCGGAGGAAGCAGGAATTCATCTTCATTAAGGTCCTGGACACATCAGAGACAGTTCTGGGTGCTCAGCATATATCATTCTTCTGAACCACCCTGTGAAGCCAGTGTTGGTATTTTGGGCCACATTTCATAGAAGAAGAAATTAGGATTTCTTTTAAGGTTTAGTGTTGATCACTTTTCATGGTTTTTATTTTTGAGCCACCAGATCCCTCCTTCCAATCATATTTTCAAAGGCAGCCTCCAATGCAGAAGATAATTACTCCGGGTGGCAGAGCGTGTGTTCAGTGTTCCCTTTGCTCCTGTCACCGTCCATACCTAGACCTCTAGGCTTCTCCTGGGACACTAGGGCTCTGAGGGACCTCTGGGCTGGGAACAGCCACCCTGCAGGGGTCTGCAAAATGCAAGACGCAGCTACTGGGTTAGTCCATGTTGCTCTGAAAACAAGAGAAATGGACATGAAGTACAGCATGTGTGACTGAACAGAATGCCAGGCATCACTGAGAAATAAGACTGGCTCACGGGAGCAGGCAGTAATACTTGATAAGCCAGAAGTGCTTGCTCTGAGATAGACGATTACAAAAGAAAGGTGTGAGAGAGGCACAGTCAACTGAGGGAGACTTGTTAAAACAGCCTTGGAAATGATCTTGGAGGAAGGAAAAAAGGAAAAAAAAAAATGTGTCCTTTTCAGTGTTCGTCAGCAGTGGCTTTCTCTACATTGCATTAGTATCTTTGTCTGTACCACAGGAAAGTGGAGGTTTTCTTTCCCAAGTTCAAGCTGGACCAGAAGTATGAGATGCACGAAGTGCTCAAGCAGATGGGAGTCAGGAGAATCTTCTCGCCCTTGGCCGACCTCAGTGGACTATCAGCGACTTCAAAAAATCTGCAGGTGTCCAAGGCAAGTCAGGTCTTCTCCAGTGCCCGCTCCTAAGCGGGAAGTGCCACCATCTAATTTTAATAAAATGCCTAGAGAAATAGATTTAAATTTCAAAGACTTGCCACAGCACTCAAATTGGGAGTTTTAAATATCTCAAATCATATTATGAAAACACCTTTTCAACTGACTACTCTTCAGTAGAGCTTTTCTGCAGTGCTCAAGGAGAAATCTATTGTGGCATTGGAGTGATTTACAGCCTCATTATCATCTATGTTATACTGCAAAAACTCATGAAAGAAATCCCTGAAACGCATGTGGCCTAACCTCCTACCTCTGGGGGACTCCCCAGTTACCCTTGGGGACTCATACTCTGGTTTCTCTCTCTCCTTCTCTCTCCCTCCCCGTCTCTTCCTCCCTCCCTCCCTCCCCAAAGGGAACTTCTACCCTTTGAGAAACAGCCCCATTCACAAATACTTAATTTAAAACAAAAACCTTGACCTGGAACTTCTCCCCAACTCGTGCTTTTTGGTCCCTTTTGGTCTATCTCAAAAACTCCTAAGAACAAGTTTAGTCCGCTTCCCCAGCGAGCTCCCCCAGCTCATCAGTGTTTCCTTCCCCTGAAAAAGGAAGTGCTCTTGGTTCAGAGGGCCGCACCTGCTCCACAGCAGCTCGGCACTGCAGGAACTGGTTGGCTCTCCTGGCCTGTGTTTGCCCCTCTCCCATCCCCACAGCCAAGCAAATGGTCCACCACACCGCCACAGGGCAGCCACATTTCACTACACCCTTCCACGGCCGCGAGAGATGGTGGGTATTTTCCCATGCAGCTGGAATTTTCAATTCCAAGACATTCAAAGTGATGTTCACTTAAACAGGACCCAGAAGGCTAACCACGGCCTGCTGCCAGGCCTTCCCATCGCAGGGAAGGCAAGATAAACAATCCTGCAGACCAGCTCTGAGTCTCCGCTGTGAACAGGAGGAAAGCTGAAGAAATGTGCTGCGGTTTTACAAAGCATCACCATGAGCTTGAGATTATAAACCATTAACTATTCCCCCTCTATTTGCTCTGAGGGGTAAATTTCTAATCCCAGGAAATAAGAATATTCCCAGGTGTTACTGTGGTGATGTTTTCACGATCTCCTCTTAGAATAATCATAAAGGTACATCATTCACGTGACAGTAGGTTCTAGCGCACAAGGGCCCCCAAGCAGGCAAGCGGCCTGAGTACTGTCAACCAGGGTTCAGGAAAACGTCAGGAGCCCTCTGGCTTGCTCTAGCCAATGCCTCAGAGCAGCGCCAGGTGCTGGAGCACTTCCCCCCAAGAGTAACCACGTCCTGTCCCCACCCTGCCTGCCAAAATAAAGGTCAAAGGACTCGGGCAACCTAGGAAGCTCAAAACACCAGCTCAGCTTAAAAGATTAGTAGCACAATATACATGTTCAGTAAATACTAGACGCTTGATGCATAAATGTCCCTGCCAGAGATTTCCTGTCATCCGAGCCCTGGATGTATTGCACATACTCTACATTTCACATGGGGTCCTAAAGTCTCGGAGGTGGTTTTAGATTCTAAGGCATTTCGTGTAGCAACCATAACTCCTCACACAAATGGGCCCTGTACCACTAAACCCCAGGAGCAGGGCCAGATGGGTAGCCTTTCGAGGGCTCAATTAATTTCTCAATCCCTACTGCCACACAAATGGACTTCCAATTCTTCCCTTTCCTAGGTTTTGCAACAATCAGTGATCGAAGTTGATGAGAAAGGAACAGAGGCAGTGACAGGAACCCTGTCAGAAATTATTGCTTACTTCATGCCTCCCACTGTCAAAGTGGACCGGCCATTTCATTTCATGATCTACGAGGAAACCTCCAAGATGCTCCTGTTTCTGGGCAGGGTGGTGGACCCGACCCGCCTGTGACTCATGACAAGCACGAGTACTCAGCGACAGCAGGTGCTGAAGTGGAGGCATCTGAACCCACCCAGGACATCTACTGGGTGGTCGAGGAAAGGCACCTCCTTCTGTCCTCAGCTGCCGTGGGCTGTTCTCAAATTAAGACACATATTAAACTGACACACGTGTAAAGGAGATGGTTGTGCACTCTGTCTGGCATTTAAGCCTGGTCCTAAGAGCCGTGGAGAATTGCTGGAAGACTAGCTGGGTGGAGCATCTCTCCTCTCGCTGTAGCCCACATACCTGGGCCTGACAGACACTAGGTTGGAACCCAATTCCACAGTGAAGCCTTTGAGGGGAGGACATGTGGCCTCTTGAGTCACACCTCTCTGATGTAAAGTAAGCATTTCACTTGATCTGTTACAGAATATCTCTTGCTGACTAAAATTAGGAGAAAACTACCATAATCAGTGTCTGGCTCAGTGACGTCTGTTTGAGTCTGTGGTGCATCCAGTCCCTTGGCAAAGGTATACAAAGGAGAAAATAAGGGACCCAGAAACTGGACCACATGGTGACTTTTGAAGGCACTAGACACACACACACACACACACACACACACACGCACGTGGGCGCACAGTTTGTGTATATATAAATTTTTAGTATATATACATTTATACTATTTATATATAACTTCATTGATGTCAGGATGAATATATTCCGGACTATTCACCTACCAGTGCAAACTATGTGTCTTGATTTCTGCTAGAAATAAAACATCTTCATGGGCCCTTAAAAGCATGGGACCTCAGCCCAGTGATGGCGAACCTATGGCACGTGTGCCACAGCGGGCACGCAGAGCCCTCTCCTTTGCACGGGAGCCAGTTCGCCCCAGCAGCCTAGCATCAGAAAAGTTTGTTTTCTAAACTAAAACCTCAGTATTCAGGTTTAATTACAGTGTTGAGACTTTGCGATCAGTAAGTGGGTTTTGGGTTGCAGTCTGAGCACTTGGTCTCTAAAAGTCTTGCCGTCACTGCCTTAGGCACTGTGCCTAGCTTACCTGATAGATAAGTCAAACCTATCCCCCAGTGGAAAGACGACCAAGGTCATGCAGGGTGGCCATGGTGCACCGAGGTCTGAGCTCTGCGTCTAACGCCCAAGCCCTGCTCACTCTTCCTTCCCTCCCCAGAACATCTGGCAGGATCCTGATACATACAGTGTGTACTTCAGAGTTACCCACCGCAGTTAAACGGAACGTAAGCATGGACTCTACCCTAAGGGGAAAAGAAGGATAGCAAATACCCTTGGGGCTTTTGCAGTCATTTTCTCACAAAGCAAGATACAACTTTAGGATGGTCAAGTCAGAGAATCCTGAGTAGAGCTAACAAATCTTGAAATGTCAGCTACATGAACAAAATGCATAATTGGATTCTATCTGTTGCTAACTCATGCTTAAATATACCTAAAACTAACTCATTATCTTCATGGCTAACACCAAAGTAATGAGAATCGGTGGTAATATTAAGAGGCAGTCTAAAGACTGACTTCACCATCCCCACATCTGGGCACTAACTCATTCCTGTAGTCTGTCCAAGAGTACTGAGATCTTTTAACAGGCAGGAAATTCTAAGGCCCAGGGAGAGAAACAAAGGAAGAGGGGCTAACTTAAACTGGCATTCCCATATGATGTATATCCGGTTAATCAGGTTTGTTTGTGGAAAAATGTAGAGAGAAGAATAAAAGAGGGTTCAGGCAATGTTCTCATTTTTAATAGATACAATCTAGAAGAGAAAATCTACGAGAAAATCTTCCTTACTCCCAAGTCCCTGTTCCTGAGGTTACCCAGCAAGGGCTGTTTGTACCATTGAAAGCTCTAAAAGGTTTCCCATCACTGGTCTACAAGAACACAATGCTCTGGAACGAACACAGTCAAACCTGGTCATGGAAATGTCAGTTCTCAGCCTCAGACGGAGGAGAAGCCTCCCTCGCCTGCACCTAAAGAACCTACACAAGGGGTTGTTAAACGGAACTCTCCTAAGAGTACCAGTCTTGTTTCTGGTGTAAATGAGGGTAGTCCTAACTGTCACCATTTTTAATTCCATTTATATCTGTCCTTGGAAGTATCATTTTAATAAACATTTCAAAAATTTTAAAGGTCATCATATTTATGAAAAAAAAAAAAAAAAAAACCATCCAAAAGTAATCTGATTAACCATTGAACTGAGAATTTAAAGCCTAGCTGTAAGAATGCAATCAATTTCTCTAAATTTCTTTACTTTACTAGTAGTGTTTTTCCTGTCACACAACTTTCCCTTTCTCATATACATAAGAAAACAAAAGCTTATAAATGCTCTGGTAAATGCTTTAACAATTAAGTTGAAATTCTCCATTTTATTTAAAATAAGAGTCACGGCCAGGTGTGGTGGTGCACACCTGTAATGCCAGCACTCAGGAGGCTGAGGCAGGAGGAAAGTTGCAAGTTTGAGACGAGCCTGGGCTACAAAGTGAGCTCAAGGCCGGCCTGAATTGCATAGGGAGACCCTATCTCAAAAAGGTAGATAGATACATAGATGATAGATAGATAGATAGATAGATAGATAGATAGATAGATAGATAGATAGATAAAGTAAGAGTCAATGCTGACTATGGAACAATGGATGGGCTTTGCTGTCCCACTGCACACCACGAATTCTCCAGCTCACAATGCAGTCAATCCCATATTGCTGAGGCTGGTAGAAGATAACAGCAACAAAAATTGCTAAAAGAAATCCACAAAGACTGTTCTGAATTTCTTTAACCGCAACTGTCAAATTTCTCCTACCTATTGGATTTTCAACTACTGCTCAAGTGAGTAGCTGAATAATTCTATTTACCTGACTGTCCTCTCATTAAGGATGTTACAAATCACTGCACACACACCACCAAGACAAGGCCAGGTGGAAAGAAAAGGGGAAAACAGGTGCCATGAGAAAGTCTTACACTGAGTAACTGTTCTGAGTAATTTACAGCTGAGATCACTGTGCTTCTTTTTATTCACTTTTTAAGACTAAACTCTCTTGTTTTTTAATTAAAGAATTAAATTTTCAGGAAAGTATTTAAAACTTTTCTCACAAACACAGGTATCTCATTAACCTATGTTTTATTTTGAGTAAATTCATTATCCATTTCACATTATAAAAAGTAACCACACACGCATATGCATTCACAAATTAGATCATCTTTATCATACATCAATATATTAAAAAAGCAAATATTTTCTAATATCAATATAGTTATATGTTGATTGCATTTTGAAATAGAGAAGCTGACAATAGCTTCATACAGTATATCTTAAGAACTGACATTTTAAAATTAAGAACTGTATATGTTCCACAGGCAAATTTTGATGGAAATATTAGCATTAGTACAAATAAATGCTGTTGACACAGCTGAAGCATGATAGCTTGGAATAACAGCTGATTCAAACTAGACTCATCATTTTAAATTAAATATAGACAAATACATTCTAAAAAGTAAACAAAGTATTTATAAAAGAAATTCTCCTAGGAAACAAAGGAAATCATCGATCTATTATTTTTAAGGTATTTGTAGCTCAAAGTTATCAGAAATCTTTGCAGGATTTTATTTGCCAAATCTAAATTTGGGAATGTCCATGTAGGATACAGTGTCCCTTCACAGGACTTATAAAATTGCAGACAGGGCTTGGGTTTGACTTTTCTGCTTGGTGTGGAGAGCTACGTGGTCTCTTCTTTACCTCCCAAGCCCTTGTTCCTGTGGTTACCCAGCAAAGGCAATTTCATCCCTCTGGGACTGTCATACGATTGCTAAACACAAAAACTCTAGAAAAATGAAACTGTTCACTTCCTGCACAAATGAAGGCAGTCTTGTCTGTTTTTTGAAGTCGTAGTTAAAGCACACATCTGAAGTTCTTTTCATTACAATGCACTGTAACATTGGAATTCTGTAACCACATTATTATGCAAGAAATATATACTATACCTCTTAGGGAATTTAACTTCAAATATGGTTAAGTTTAACATAAGCTGTCATTATGTCTTTTTCCATTCATTAAAACAAACAAAAACATAAAAAAAAAAAAAAGAAAGAAAGAAAGAAGCTCCAGCCACTGCTTCCAACTTGTCCATCAATCATATTTGTCCTGATGTCTTTGCTTTGGTCTCCTTCAACAGCAGTTGATTTAAGGGTTGGATTTTCTGGATTTTCTGAGGGAAGCGGGGAAGGGTAGAGTGAGAAAAGAAGATATGGGTAATTTTATCCATATAATGCTCACAAAAAAATGAAGACATATAGATAAGCTATTTGGAATAAACCTAATATGAGAAGTCTATGAGAAAAAAGTACACATTGAAGACTACAAAGAATTACCTTTAACTATTAAAAAAACGTGTACACCTAACATATCACACAATTTATTTCATATTTTCCTACACTGTAAACGCTGTATAAACATAATGGAGGTAATACAAGCCTAAATATATCCATTGCATGGCCTTAGAAGATGTAAGAGTGTACCCCTGCCCTTTCTTTAAGACACAGCTTTTTCTAATTACCAGAAGTGTCATTCTGTAAAATTGGGGAGTGAATTACATATAATTGCTTTAGAAGTAAAAACTGAAATAATATTTTCTGAAATCACTTCATAAGCTTCCTTTAAATAAAAATGACATTTTCATTTGAGTAAGGCATGGCTCTGAATTGCAGACAATGCTTCACATACAAACAAAGCAAAACAAAGCAAAAATCCAACTCAAGTGTCAGTCAGCACCCAACTCAGCTGCGCTTTGAGCTTCTGGAGCCTGATGACTTAGCAGGCAGCAGGCCCTGCCCAGCCCATGCAGGAGGGAAGCACTGCAGACATTGCTTTTTGTAACTAGCACTTACATAGAGAACATTCAGTCTATACAAGGGAAGAACATGCTCAACAAGGAAAGAATGAATGAAGAAATCCGAATAAACGAACTCATGCCTGACTATATTAGGCTTCGGTAGTTTTTTTTAAAAACTGCCTGTAACATGCAGTGGAGTAAGTGAAGAGAATTCATGTGCTGTGGCTGCATCGCTCCTCCACGGGAGGGGTCAGGGCAGCCCTCTGAGCACTGGCAGGTCTCGGGTGGAGAGGAGGGATCTCAGGACACAGGAGCAAAAGGCCCCTTGGAAGACCATGAGTCAACCCTGCACTTCACAGATCAGGCAGGGAGGCTGAGCAAGACAGGACTGTGCTCCACACTTAGCTGCTTGGGGCAGGGGCAGGCATGCAGCTCCATCTGGGCTCTGCAGAATGTCAGACCACCCCACTTCTCTGCTCATGGCTTCTGGATGGAACCTCCACAGTGTAATCACTAGGGCATTCACTATCCAGGGCAACAGCATCCTCTGTAGCAAAGGGATCCCATGTTAACACTACTCATCTGTAGTATCGATATTACTTTTTCCTATATTACTTCTTTGTAGTATATACACCTGCTCTTTCCTTGAGCCCCACTAAATGAATTTATTTTTAATTTTGAAGGAAGTTAGGTACATACATCTATACTTGTATATATCTAACAGTCATTACAATTTAGAATGAGTTATAATATATAGTTCCACTCCTAATACAGCCTCCTGAGTCTCTGCATAAAAAGATGTAGCTGAGAAACTTTACTGGGAAATATTTCTGAATTTAATGAGATGTATTTGGAAGGAAATCTGAATCTTGTTTAAGTTCTGTTCTAATCAGAAGGCTCAGGTGTTCTGTGTGAAAGAACAAACCTGTAACTGCAGGTTGAGCATCCTGACTGAATTGTTTAGACCTTGGTAAGGGCTCTTCACTGGCTTTCATGAAACTACCCTCTTAAATGTTTAAAAGAAAAAAGACTTTGGTGATTAAAACAATATCAAATTGCATATAAAAAGGAACCATGGAGGATAGGAAGACAGAACCTAACTTCAAGGCACAGGACAGTCTACTGTACTGTGTCCGGTAGTAGTACTGTGTCCAGTTTTCTGAGCCCACAGTTCTGGGTTCTGTGCTGCAGTAATCTTTCTTAAGTAGCATCTGCTGTACCCCTCTTTCTGAATATGCAGCAATGAGATACTATAGCTAGGTGTTCAAAGGGCTGTAACTATCCCAGTGTCTTCCAAAAGAAAAGAAGTGCAAACATCCCATAGGAAAACAAAACCTCAAGAAATTAGCTGAGTCCATTTAAATGCTTTTTTGTTGATTCCCGAAGGTTACAGTAATTTGCCATAGATATATAAATCATCTGATGTATACCATCTAGCCTAACAACATCTCATGTGATAAAATTCCCTTTGGCTCACTGGAGACATATTCTATTCCTTGGAAAGTATGTACACAGGAAGGAAAGTCCACTTAGGAAAAATAAGACAAACACTCCGTATGGTTACCACTCAGTGACTCACAAGGTGGCCTTCCGAGGTTGTGTGTCTTTACTTCCACTGTTCTTTGGGTCGGCTGTGCTAACTGTCCCACGGGAGGTACTGGGTAAAGGCGGGTTGGAGGAAAAGGAGGCTGGAGCGCTACTGGCACTCCGAGTCCGGAATGAGTCATCTGAAAGGAACAGACATACAGAGAATACTGGGAAAGATGTTAAGAAGAAAAGCCGAATTTCTTCACTTTTTAAATAAATTTTATGAAGGCATAATTACATATAATAATGGCAGAAGTTAAGGTTTGGGCGTACATATACCCCCATGAAACCATGGCCAAAATGAAGATGCAAAAATACCCATCGCTACCCGTACTACCTCATGTCCACTGCAATCCCTCTCTCTTCTCCCACCTTCTGCCTCTCAGAACTGATTTGCCCCCAGTCACTGTAGATTAGCTTGCATTTCCTACAATTTTACATAAATAAAAGCCTAGAATATTTATTTTGTCTGGCTTCTTTCATATGATCAGTATAATTCCTTTAAGATCCATCCATGTTGGACATATCAGTACTTTATCCCTTTTTATTTCTGATGGATATTGTTTACCCATAACGTTAACTTGTATTTTTTCCAGTTTTTGACTGTTTTAAACAGGCTGCTATGAACTTCCCTGTACAAGTCTGTTTTTTTTTTTTTTTTTTGGTTTTTCTCCGGTACCAGGAACCGAACTCACGACCTTGCGCTTGCCACGCAGGCGCTTTTGCCGCTGAGCTAAATCCCCAGCCCCCCCTGTACAAGTCTGTATGGGATATGTTTCAATTCCCTTCAGTAAAAGCCTAGGCATAGGAGTGCTGGATCAAAGGCTAAGTGTGTACTTGTCTTCAGAAGATCCTGCCAAAGCACTCTTTCCTCCTTCCCCGCCTTTCTTCCTGTCTTTTGCATTTCCAGAAGCATCCTGGAGAGTGCGTCTCATCATATGCTTGACACTGGAAGCCTTTTCAATTTTAGGCATTCTCGCAGGTGTAAAGTGGTATCTCTTAATGTACAGTTTCTTCTCATTGCTCCCAATTTGTATTTTGCTAATGATTGCTGATGTTAAGAATTTTTCAGTTACAAACTCTATGTAACACATATATCTTCTTTTGTGCTCATAGAGTTTTTTCTCATTTTAAAATTAGTTGCCTAATTAGTTTTAACAAGTTCTTTGTATATTCTGAGTACGAGTCCCTTATCAGGTACCTGTATAATGAATATTTTCTCCAAATCCACACCCCAAGTCTAGTTTTTATTGCTCTATTTCAAAGCTTCAAATTTTAAATTTTGATGAAGTCTTCTATGTTAATATTTTCCTGCTTTAGTGAGGAGAAATCTGTCTATTCCAAAGACACAAAGAGTTTCTTCTATATGCTCTTTAGAAATTTTACAGTTTTAGTTTTTATGCTTAGGTTTTACATTTTGAATTAATTTTGTGCGTAATACAAGAATTGAGTTTCAGCTTTTTGGGCTTTGTGCTTCCAGTATTGTCCTGGTACCATATTAAACCAGTGAGTGGTTTCCAGCACTGTTTCAGACTCCTTTTTAAAAGCAGTTGTAGGATCACAGCAGAATTGAGAGGAAGGTAGAGTGCCTATATACCCCGTTCTCACTCATACACAGCCTCTTCATAATCGACATCTCCCCAAAGTGGTACATTTATTGCAGTTGATGAGCCTGCATTAACGCATCATGATCACCCTAAAGTTCACAGTTGACATTAGGGTCACTCTTGGTGTTTTACGTTTTGAGTTGGAACAAATATATAATGACACGTGTCCCTTATTATGTAGCAATATAAAAGGGTATTTCACCATCCCCACCTACTCACCCCACCTCTCTTCAATCCCTGCCAAGCACTGATTCTGTTACTGGCTCTATGACTTTAGCTTTTCAAGAATGTTTTATAACTGGGTAACACATACGTAGCCTTTTCAGACTGGCATCTTTAATTTTTTAACATGGATTTAAGGTTCCTCTATGTCTTTTCATGGCCTGCGAGCGCATTTCTTTTAGCACGGAATCCACTGTCTGGATTTACTGCAGTTTATACATCCATTTATTGAAGAACATCTTGTCTGCTTCCAAGTTTTGGCAGTTATAAATAAAGTGACTAAAATTCCATGTGCCAATTTTTATGTGGACGTAAGTTTTCAACTACTGCGGGTAAATACCAAAGAAGATAATCAGTAGACCATATAGTAAGAATATGTTTACTTTTTAAACAGTCTACTGCGTATCTTCCAAAGTAGCTTCCCATAGGCAATGATGAGAGTTCCGGTTACTCCACATTCTCATTAGCATTGTTGTTGTCAGGGTTTTGGGTTTTGGTCATTCTAATAGGTGGGCAGTGGTATCTCAATTATTTTAACTTGCAGTTATGCCGTGACATATATGAAGTTGAATATCTTCTTCACATGTTCACTTGCCATCCATGTATGTTCTTTGATGAGGTATCTGTTCAGGTCTTTGGCCATTTTTAAATCATTTTTAGCCTTTAAGTTCTAAAAGCTTTGTATATTTTGAATAACAATCCTTCACCAGATACGTATTTTGTAAATATTTTCTTCTAGAACACGGCTTCTCTTCTCATTCTCTTGATAGTGCCTTTGATAGAGCAGTTTTCATTTTAAGAAGTTTAACTTATCAGTTTTTTCATGGATTGTGCCTTTGATGTGATATCTAAAAAAATTATGGCTATATTCAAGGCCACCTAGGTTTTTTTCCTGTTATATTGTAGGAATTTTGTGTTTGCATTTTACCTTTAGGTTTGTGATTCCTTTTGAATATATATATATATAATCTCCAGTTGTTTCAGCATCATTTGTTAAAAAGACTCTCCTCCACTTTCCTGCACTGCTGTATTGATATAGGTCTATTTCTAGGTTTCCTATTCTGTTCCATTGATGCATTTGGCTATTCCACCCTTTTTGACTGCTAGAGTTTTATAGGAAATCTTGAAGTCAGGTAGTGTGAAATTTGTGTCTTTGTTCTTATTCAGTATTGTGTGAGCAATTCTGAGTCTTCTTTCTCTCCATATAAAGTCGGTAATCTGTTTATTGATATTCATAAAACAATTTGTTGTGAATTTGATGGGGATTATATTGAATATGTAGATCAATTCAAGAAGAATCAATGCCTTGACAATAATAAGTTTTCCTAACCATAAACACGGAATACCTATTTGTTTAGTCCTTCTTTGACTTCTTTCATCAGTTTTGTAGTTTTCTTCATATAGATCTTTACATATTTTATTAGGTCTATGCATGAGTATTTCATTTTGGAGTTAATATAGAATTGTTTAAGTTTCAAATTTCATTTGTTCATTGCTGTAATATAAGAAAGCAATTGATTTTTTTCTATATTATACTTGTATATTGCAACCCTGCTATAATCACTTATTAATTCAAGGAACATTTTGGCCAATTCTTTTGATGTTCTACATAGATATTCCTGTCATTTGTGAACAAGGTAGTTTTATTGCTTCCTTCCAAATTATTATACCTTGCAACTCCATTTTCAGTTTCCTCTATAACGAACAGCTTATATTAATTAGTGTACTATACTTGTTACACATAATGAGCTGATAGTGATACATTATTAAATAAAATCCATATCACTTTTATTTTATCTAACTACTGCCTTTCCCAGCTGAAGATTGCACCCAAGATAGCACATCCAATTTATTTGTCTGGTCTCCTTAAGTTCTCCTTGGGCGCCACAGATTTTCCTAGTTTGTGACGACCTTTATGGTTTTGAGGGGTACTGGCCAAATATTTTATAAGATGCTCTTTATTGGGTTTTGTCTAACGTTTTCTCTAAGATTATAATGGGCTCTAGATTGGGAAAAGATAGAAAATAAAGCACCCATTTAAATCACATCATATCAAGGGTACCTATAATGATATATCTGATCATATTTTATGTACCTTATTTTACTGCTTTATGATAGATCATTAGAAATGTGATTTTTTTTGTTTTACTCAAAGTGTACTTTTAAAACTAAGACTCCCAATAACCTTTATCAAACTGCTTTCCAAAAGAATTCCACTGATTTTGATACCCACTAACAATGGATTTGGCTATTTGTTTCCCTAAATCCTATTTTCCCCAGTCTGTTGTGCCCACATAACTTTGGATGGAAAGCTATAAAAGATAACAGGCAAAAAGTCTTCACACAATCTAACAGTGGGTTCATGGTAATTGCAAAGTATCCAATCCATCATTCTAAGCTACAACGTTGACCTGCTTTTCAGTTCTATCTAACATTACTCCCTTAAATATGCTCCCCACTCTAGCCACACTGGTCACTTGTTGCTCCCTGAAGATACCAACGCTCAGTTTGTGCTATGACTGGTTCTCTAAATGGATGCTGTTCATAGCCATCTCTGTCTGTCAAGATCCTAGCACACCTTATGGGTTTCCTTAAATGACACTGACATTTTGAAACCCACAACTAAGTAAAACGTCTTTTCTATGTGAAGACATAATGTTTGTTAAAAGACATTTGCTTCCATTTTGTATTTATTAGTAAGACGTATAATTATACAGTAACTTTTTCCTCACTCTCCATTTCATTAAGTAATACCTAACAATAAGTAACAAGTACACTTTTCTAACCAAAAAGCTTAGGATACATCTCATGAACTTACATGTACCCCCAAAAGAAAACATGGAGTCCTTAAGATATTTTTAAATATTTTAATAAAAGATTAACCATTAAATAATTTTATTTAAGACAGTGGATGTAAGTCTTAGGATTTGTAGACTATATCTCTGTCTTTATTCTCAAGGGCATTTAAGAACTAGCTAAGTAAAAACTAAAGAAATTAATGTATATAATTTTATAAAAATAGTTCTGCAACAATATCCTTAATGACTTAGATAGAAATTTTTCTTGACAGGAATTGTTACAAACTCATGAATAAATATGCTCAATTACAGCTTGGTCAAGGAATATCCAGCAGGACACGTGGGAACCTTCCTGGTTTGAAGAGTTCTTCATGGACATTATAATCATTTGAACTATTAACTCCAATATTTAGTTGTAGATTACTCACTGTGAATTCCTCCACCCTTAAAAATTATTGGAAAAACTTTTTGGCCAGCTTGTTGAGATAATCCATATGTAACTCATATATATTTATAATTTTAAAGATACTCCATATTGAAAAAAAACTTTTCAAACCCTGAATATTAGTGCTTCCTCAAGAATTCATTACTTTGCTGTGATAAAAGTAACCAACATAATCCTAACATTACATACAGTGGTAACTTAGTTCAGCTTTCTGTCATTATCAAAGCAGTATGATAATGGTCTACTCTGCAGAACCACATAATAAGGACGCCTATGCTTTCACTTTAGAAAGCTTTTCTATGCTAGCAAATGAAAATGCTGGTTAGAAAACAATGAGACTAAAAAGAGCATAGTGAGAGGTAAGAGGAGTACAGAACACTCAAAATGTAACCTAGAAAAAGGAAACATGGTAAAACTTTTTAAAATTTCAGACCTTTGGGCAGATTCACTATTATTTACATTTAAAGATGACATTAGATCAGTATTAGTTCAGCCAATATTTACAAGGCAGAAAATTTAAAATATACATTTGGTCACTAGTAATTTTTAGCAATATATTTTAGTTTATGTATAGCGTAATTTTAACTTCTATGACATAAACCAGAGGTCAGCAAACTATAGCCTCGGGTTGCAAATTCTGTCTGCTGCCTGTAAAATGAAGTTTTTCTGGAGCACAACAATGTTTATTCATTATCCATCATCTGTAGGTGTTTTTATGCTACAACAGAGACTGAAGTATTTATAGTCTGTCCCTTCATAGAAGCTTGCTGACCCCTGGAACAAACTTTGAAAGACCTAGTATGGCAAATGCTTAGCTATAGATTATTCACCGTGAATTCCTACATCCTTAAAAATTATTGGAAAAACTTTTGGCCAGCTTGAACAGGTCCTATCATGTTGTTCCTTTTCCTGTTTTAAAAGTATGAAGCTCAATTTTGATACAATGAAAACAAAGGGCATAGTCTAGTAAATTCTTCATTGCTAGGGAAAGGTTTAATTTTTTTGGATTTGATAAAAATAGAAATCTAGAAAAAAAACCACATTGCTAGAAATAAAGAAATGCCACTTAAAGAAAATAGTATCTTATTAATTTTAGCAAGTTTTTCAAGTTTAGAGTGCTACTTACCATTTAGTGAAAGCACAGAATTCTTTGTTAACCCTGAGAGAGAAGATGTATATCCTGCTGTAGTTTTACTGGAAAAGAACATGATTTCATTTAAAATACAAGAACATGCTTCTTTCGATCTCAGTTCTCTAACAGTTGGGCTGTTTTAATCTTTTTAAAATGTTTTTTCTCTGCTTTAATTTCACTTGTCTTTTTACATCCCATGCCTCAAAACACTTTGTGTATAAATTCTAAGCATTTTTTAAGCTTTTGTTTTATCAGAACTATAGTTTTTCTTTTGATGCTCAGCCAAGACAGGTAAAATGGGTAAAACTTTCCTGGAAATAGCTAGTTATAATCCCTCTTATCCATCCTGAGATCACTGAATTGTCTAGAAGATACAGATAATTCCCCAAAATACAGCTGAAAATCTGAAATTAGCTATAATAAAAGTAAAGTTTTTTCTGTAACATATCACTTGAGAGACAAACGAGTGCTTACAAAGACATTCATTTTCTTAAAAGGACTTTGCTTGTCGGCTGATATGCAGCGGGGAAGTACTACATGTGTACAGCACATCTAATAAGTCACGGTCATTTAATTTATGCTGCTACTCTTCTAACCCAAATCATTTTTAATTTTGTCTCCTGAACTAAAAAATGGAAACCAGACTTTTATCTATTGTCAGTACTCCGTCGTGACCACTTTACCATATGAAATTTTACTCATCTCTTCTTTTTAATTTTATGAAAATAATTTCATAACAAAATAATAAGAGATAGCAAGTAAATACAGTGTTTATCATAATCTTCAAAGTAGTTACTCAGAATACAAAACATAGACCAAAAAAGGCTCTCTTACAAATTAGAAACCAACAGATAAAAGCATAAAACTTCCTTTTCAATAAACAGAGAGAAACTAGTAATATAAATTAAACAAATTAGCATATATATTAAAATATTTTTGAAACCACAGAATAGGTCATTTGTGAATTATCTGAACCTTTCCCTACTTCCTATTTATGTATTATCTCTTTTGCTCTTCGTGTACATGTGTGTGTGTGTGTGTGTGTGTGTGTGTGTGTGTGTGTGGAGAGAAAGAGAGAGAGAGAGGGAGAGAGAGAAAGAGATTCTCCTATGGTCGATTTTTAGGCAGAAACAATATTAAGAACAAATGAATGTCCATGCCAGCTAGCAAAGGGACCTTCCATACATGTTTACAAGTTCATGCAATGCACAGCAGAGCACCAACTCCCTCATAAATGGTACATGGATTCCATAGTGCTCTTGCCCTGATACCTAATTTTATGCAAACTGATGGACTTTACTATTTTTAAACACATAATAATCTTTACATATAAAAGCAGGCAGATTATTGGCCTACTAAAATTCAAGATTAATTCTAATTTTTACAATGTAACTATTTCACCTAAGTATATGTGACTATAAAATTTACAAAGTTAAAAAGTAGCCAGCAGGTCATACCTAGCACATTTCTCTAAGTTGCCATATTTTGCATGAAAAGCTTGATTATTAAAAGATTGGCTTCGAATCAATTTGGACTTCTTGATTTCTTTGCCTAGAGGAATAAGCAGAAAAAAGGAAAATGCAATTGTTCATTTCATCCCCAGCTACCCAACCCCCACTATTTTCAGAAAAACACAGATGACAGAGATTCTTCACGAGTTTGAGCTCACTGAAACACATCCTACCCATGCTACCCACTAAGCACTACTGAAACAACTAACAGTAAAAGGCTTGAGATGCATTAGAATAACATGTCTAATGGAATGCATTTTCCTGGAATTAATTTTTTAAAAGAAAATCATGATTGTGAAAGAGACTTAAAAAGAAGTTATTTCTTACTTGTTGATGGGCTGCTAGAAGAGGCTCCAGGAACAGAAATGGGGAGGCTCTTGGGCAGACTTTGCGTCGGTGCCTTTGTATCTCTGCCTAAAATAAACTCTGTTTTAAGTTGTATAATTTCCTCTGAGTCTTTACCAATCTCCATAAATATAAAACACAGAAAATGTGAATCATTATCCCTGGTTAAGCTGCATCTTTTCCAAATAGTCTCCTTTTTATATCGTTCCATATGCCAGTCACTGCCATTCAGTAATCAATTTCACAATCCTACAGCTGTTCTCAAACTTAAAGCTTTCCTTCTGAAGCATCTGCACCTCCACACTGATTCCTGACATTTACTCATGTATTCCTAACATCTGTACCACATTAAGCAACCAATTTTCAAAAGCAACTTCTGAAAAATAGAAGGAAGTGAAGTGATTTTCCCTACCAAATTAAAACTTAGCAGAGTTTATCAAAATGTCAAAATGCAACAGTACTTCGGTAACTGAGTGGTGAAGACACAAGAAAATCACTTACGTTTCTTCTCAAAGATTTTATCACTTGAGGGCCTTCCATCATTCTGTTGCTTCTCCTTCTCTAACTGCTCCTGTTATGAAAGCCACATTATGTTAATGATACAGTTTAAATACACTTAGGAAGTTGCTTTGATGAAAACTTATTGTATACAATAGCAATTCATATATATAGGTCATAAAAGCTCTTAAAAGTCTTTTTCTCCCTTATTTGTGTCTGATGAATTCAAGGTTCTGTCAAACTTGTGCCTTTTTAACATCTATAAGATTTTTTCCCAACTCAATCACTCTGAAATCCTTATAATAAATTTCTATTTCCTAGAAGATATTTAGTGGTTCTCATCAGCAAAATATTTGTTGCTACTGGTTATTTCAATTTCTAATTGGTGAATGGCAAAGTTGTATTTTTCTTTAAAAAAACCTGAGAAAAAAGGCAATAGTCTATTGGATATGTTTAAATACTTTATTAAAGTATAACATACATAAATAAATCACACAATTTACAAAAGAATTCCATCAAACAAATTAAAGAAGAAATATACAAAATGTCAGAAAATAGAGGAGGTGGGAACACAAACCATCTAATACAAAATTGACCTCCTCAAAGCTGACTAATGAAAATTATAAATTGATTTCACTATGAATATAGTTTTTTGGTGTTTTTTTTTTTGTTGGTTTTTTTTTTGAGATAGGGTCTCACTATGTAGTTCAGGCTGGCTTTGAGCTCACTTTGTAACCCTGGCTGGCCTCGAACTCAGAAAAATTGTCCTGCCTCAGCCTCCCGAGTGCTGGGATTAGAGGCACGCACCACCACGTCTGGCATATGAATATAGATTAAAAATTCCTTAACAAAAACATTAGTCAATAATTCAACAATAGGAAAAAGGGATAATATATGATCACCAAGTTGATTTGTATACCAAATACAATTTTGGTTTACTATCTGACAAGATTAGGTAGTAAAAATTCACTATATTAACAGAATAAAAGAGAAAAACAAATTTCATTTCTAGAAATGGAGAAAAGATATTTGATAAAATCCAACAACCATTGATAAAAATTCTCAGTAAACCAGGCGCAGGAGGAAACTTCCTCAATCTGATGAGACATCTACATGAAACTACTGCTACTTTCACACCTAATGATAAGAGATTACACTGCTTCCCGCTAATACTAGTGAAAAGAGAGAGATGCCTACTTATACCAGCTTTATTCAGTGAGAGGTCTTCAGCACTGGAGGTGCGAGATCTTAAAATAAGAGAGCCAAAGGAGGGAGGGAGAGAAGGAGGGAAGAAATATTCAATAGGAAGAAGTAATCTTTCTATATTTAAAGAAGATATACTGAAAAGCCTAATGAATCTAAAAAATTGAAATTTAGCAAGTGTATAAAATACAAGATTAATATACAAAATCTATACTACTTTTCTTATAACCTACTAGTAAAAATTGAAAAACTTTTAAAATGTTCAGAATACATAAAGAACTTGTTTATCTCACTTAATAATAAGCCATCTACTTTAAATTCTGAAAATAGACTTCATCAAAAAAGATAGGATAGGTCAATAAACAAGTGAAAAGATGATCAGTATCTTTAGGCATCAGGCATGTGCAATTTAAAACCATAATGAGATACCACTACATAGCACTATTATGCCTACAACTGAAACAGAACTATATCAAGCCTTATTGAGTATACGGGGGATAACTACAGCTCTCCACCAGAGCCATGGAAATATAAAATGGTACAGCCATGTTGGAAAAAAGGTTTTGTTTATTTCAAGATAGGCATATTCTATCATGTGTCTGGTCATTCTATCCTTAGTATTTACCCAAAAGAAGTGAAAACATATGTCCACCCAAAGACTTTTTTACTAATGTTCAAAGTGGTTTTATTTGTAATATTCCAAAACTAGAAGTAACTCAAATGTTCACTAAGAGGTGATAAGATAAGCAAATTGCACTACATACATAATATGAAATATTACTCCAAATAAAGAGGAACGACTTACTGATACAATCAAGAGTATGACTGAATCTCAAAATTATTATAGTGATGGAAAGAAGCATGATCAAAATAGCACAATTCATAACACTAAATCTTGGAAGCAACCTATATGTCCATCAATAGACGAATGGCTAAAGAAGATGTGCTACTTGCATACAATGGAGTATTGCTCCGCCATAAAGAAACATAAACTTGATTCATTTGGAGGAAAATGGGTGGACCTTGAGATCATAACGTCACGTGAAATAAATCAGACACACAAATTTAAGTATCACATGGTTCCTCGTGTATAAGAAACCCAACACAAAGAGTAAAACGAAAGATATCAGGAAGTAGAGAGGGGGAGTGGGGGGAGAGGGGATGCCAAAGGGATTAAGATGTATTTCATACATGTACCGACTCCACACAAGGAATGTAAGCATTATGTACAGTCAAGATGGACTAATAAAAAATAAAAATTTCAAAAGACTACCTACAATTCAATTTACATAAACTCTAGAAAATGCAACTGATCTATAGTGATATAAACTAGCTCAGCAGATGATGGGGACTGAAATAGAAGAAGATATGGATTACCACGGAGAATAGGAAACTTTTAGGACAATGGACATATTTTGTATGTTGACTGTATCACCTATACACTTTATTATTTGGTGACAGGGTCTCACTAGGTAGCCCAGGGCGGTCTCGAGCTCACAGCAGTCCTCCTGCCTCTGCCTCCCAAGTACTGTACCACACCTGGCTACATCTATACACTTTAAATACATGCAATTAATTGTATTGCAATTTTATTTCAGTAGTTTTTAAAAAGATGTTCTCAAATATAATTTTTCTTCTTGTTCACAGAAGAATAGATTTCCGAAAACCACAACTCTTCTTTAGTTACTTAAGAACAAAAAAGTAATGTGAAATTGAAAGAAATTATCTTTTAAACTGAATAACAAAGCACAGTTAAAATTGACCAGAAGTGTACGTGTGTGTGCATATAAAAACAGCATACCATTTCCAAAAAAAGCAGTTCTTCTCTTTCTTTCTCTTGATCCAACAAATCTTTTTCATAAAACTTTTTCTGAAACTGAAGTTTAAAATGACACTGTCAAACATGAGAAATGATTGTCCACTGATTTTTAAATATTCCTTTCAGTAGAAGGTACAGCAGGTACTTACAGCGTCCATAGACATTTCCATTCTGTCCAATTCCAACACAGTCTAGAAAGAAAGTTCACAAAATTATTGGACAGCAAGTCAATCCAGTCAACCATTTCTTAGATACTCCCTTTCCCACAGATGTTCAAAGAGATTTCTGTATTGTGTGAACATTGTTAGGAAATTTTAAAGTTTTACCCCATTGTACACTGCATTTATAGCAAACTTCTAAATATTAATGTCAGGATCCATTGTAACTTTTAGAAGTTTTTAACCTTCAGAAGAGCAAGTCTATAGGCATATTTTAAATACCAAATTCATGGCTGGGTATGGTAGTGCACACCGGTAATCCCAGCACTCGAGAGGCTGAGACAGGAGAATTACTGTGAGTTTGAGGCCAGCTTGGGCTACAAAGTGAGTTCAAGGC